GGAGGATTCGGCCACAGTAAAGAAAGGGTGGTGAATGCGATATCTTACGGATTCAGGCGGGGTGAGGTGCGAGGCCGAGGTCTTGGCCCATTGCGAATCCATTTGTGAGGTTAGAGTAGAGGGAGAGTTAGTTGGAGTAGCGGTTAGTGGAAAAGTTAGTGCGCCGGGCGATGACAGAAGCAAGAGAGGTAAAGAGTGAGGAATATAGATCTCGCTCGTTTCTGGATTAAATCGAGCGGGAAAAGATTGGGTTTGGACGTTTTGACATGCTGCGATTCCAACGGTGTAGTTAGTTTTGAGTATTAGTGGGTAAGTTTTTAGATGGGATGATTACGAGTTGCGCCCGGGGGAGCGATTGGGTGGTTCGCAAGTCGGGGATGTATCTTCCCCTTTTTGGCAGAAGGCTCGTTCCGTTGTTGCTTCGCCCTATCGATGCTCCTGGTGTGAACCCAACCACACAGCACACGAGAGAAGGAGAGACGAAGCTTACCTTATAGGGGTCACGCGGTACCTTCCCCGATTTCGGGGCAGGTTCATTCATATCTAAAAGAAGGTGATGGGTCGGAGTTATGGCGGGGGTACCGAGTGGAGAGGTTGGATTGACATTTTAAGGAAGGGCGAGTCAGTCGGTGTAGTAGATTCGTATGAGGAATAATAGATTATGAACGAGGAGAAGAGAGTACTGCGGAGAGCTGTGAGGGAAGAAGGCAACAGGAATGAAAAGGACGGATGCACCCGGTCACCTTCTAGCAGAAGGTTCGTTTGAATTTGCGTGAGGGCGAGACTTTACTTGGTGGTGTGATCGGGGCCGCCAGTCTCAGTACGGTGCAACAATGTTCCCGCATTATAGCAGGAGATCCATTCCAATTTGTTCGTCCTACGGACGAGTGTGGCCATCCTCCCTGCCTGCATGGCGGGAAGGCAGTTTGCGTTTTCGTGTCATAGCGGGAGATGCATCCTGAGCTAGCCCATGTCAAGGGGTGTACCCAGTCAAGTTATAGGGGAACACGGTTCAACGTGCGCTCGGCCTATTGACTGAATTAGCCGTGGCGAGCCTGGGAACCGAAGACTTACCTGTGGGAACGGGGGCGTGCCAGTGA